GGCGGGTGGGCAGGAGGGCTCCGCGGGGCGCCCGCCGCGCTCGCTGCTGCGGCCGAGGCTCCGCTGTACAAGAAGCCTTTTATTACTTTGGGTTTTGTGGTTTTTTTTTTTTTCAATTTTCCCCTTAGGGGCAAACCTGACCCGGTGCAAGAGCCTGGCGGGCCCGTGCACCACCGGAGTCCTCTCTGCTGCCGCCGGGGGCCCTCTGGGCGCCTCGGGAAGAGGCTGCGAGATCACAGAACCGCAGAACGGCCGAGGAGGGAAGGGACCCCTAGAGATCATCTAGTCCAACCCCTGCTCCAGCAGGGACAATGTTCCTCCGAGATGTTTCTCTGTACCTAGAAGCGGGTGAGTCCGAGGCAGGAGACAGAAGTGCTTGCAAAGGAGACCTCGTGTTGCAGCCCTCTGGCCCCTGCAGGAAGGAGACGGGTTGTGGCTGCACGGGGACAACGCAGCGCTCCAGGCCCTGCCATGGGCACGGGCCAAGGGCAGCGCCTTCCTGGTGCGTCCCAGGCCGTGGCACGAGATGCTCCAGGGGCTCGTGCGGCCCTTGTCTCCACAGGGAGGCTGCGGAGCGGGAGAGCCAGTCTGTTGCCATCAGAGTCTCTGGATAGAGTCGGAGCGATCCGGGGTAGCGAGCTCCAGGCTGCTGCAGGCCAGATTACCCCAAGGGCTGAGGGGCAGATCCTTCCCCAGCAGCTGCAGGGACGTGTTTGGGGCAGCAGATTGCTGCTCAAGTGCCATCGAAAATAATTACATTGGAGTGCTTGAAACACCGTGGGACCTGGGAAGGGGGCACTGCACACCCGTTCGGCTCCTCCGACTCCCAGGCCCAACACCCTCTTGCATGTGCTGAGCTGGGACGGTCTGAATCGCCGGGGCACTGCGGGGCCCACTGCAAAGACACATCTTCACATTGCTGGCCAGAAACCTCCGACGGTCGTGAGCTCAACAACAGGTACCAAAAAAAAGAAAAAAAAAAAAGGAATGGAATCCTGCAGCATCCAGCCCCTTCCGCACGGCTCGCTCGGTGCTGGCCCAGGGCACCACCTCAGCCGCCCCCGGCAGCAACAAGCGCCAA